GTAGTTTTTAAAAAGTTGCACACGAAAATCTAGATTGGAAGACAGTTGCAGTTCTGGGCCTGAATCTTCCCATGACTGGAGCTGAGTAATAACAGAGTAGTCTTAAAGACTCTTAATATTCATTTGTCTAAGTCTGCAGGATGTCTTTGTCAAATCAGCCATTTATAATTTAGAATAAAAATGCATTTACTAGGTTTTTTCTTGGTGGGTACAAAAATTTGGTTGGGATGCAAAGAGGAAGAAATTATGAAGTCACCAAACATGTGGCCAAGGCCACATGTTTGAAAACCTGGAATTTGACCCACCTGATAGAAATGCCTTAACTTCTAACACTTCACCTTTCCCATAGCAGCCAGTTATCGAAATGCTTATTCCCCTTATTACAAGATTTAGTTGTTCTGACAATTATATTTTAAAGAGTTTAAGTTTATGATAAGGTCTATAAGACTGTTGAAAATGTGTCTCAACTTTGTGTATACATACTCTTTCTCTTTTTTTTAAGTATTATTTTCACTAAGAAATAAAAGTGATGTCAGGATCTAGAGATTTGAAATCAAGTTTTCTTATAATTCCTAATTCCAGTGGCAGAATGCTAAATTTCTATAGTGTGATTATCCTGAATTAATAACTATATATTTAAAGAAAGACTATTTAGAATTTTAAGTGCATCCATAGTGGCAGATTTTGTTTGATAGTCAAACTATCATCAAACTATGTCATAGTCAAACTATGATGATAGTCAAACTATGTCATCAAACTCAAATCCCAAACATGATGAAAATACACAGATTACAGAATCCAAGGAGTTGAAAGGGTCCTCTGTGGTGATCCAACTCCTCGTTATTCAAATGTGATTCATGGACCTTCGGCATTGGTGTTACGGAAATGCAAACTACCCAGCCACATGTGCACCTGTAGAATCAGAACCTGCATTTAAGCCAGGTCTTACATGATTTGTGTGGTATATGAAGGGTTGAAAGGCACTGATCTACTCCAAAGTTTCATGTATGTTACATTTTGGATCGTTAGTTGACTGAACTGAGGTACCAGATAAAAAAATATTTATCTGCCTTCTCCGTGATTCTGAGGTTTGAACGCATGCTTTTTTGATTCCATTGTACAGTGCAGCCTCTGGGCTCCATCCCACCTTACAGCACAGAGGTGACGGAGACCACCATTGTGATTACTTGGACGCCTGCCCCAAGGATTGGTTTTAAGGTAAACTGCAGATGTTCCTAATCTCTTCTGATACAGCCCTGAGGTGTGTTTCTGGATGTGGTTAAAACAGGATGTTTCAAGAATTGGGTAACTTGAGTTTGTCCTGTTTCTGCTCATACCTCTCTGGCCACATTGTCAGGGCATCATAATACTTCTGCCTTCCTGAATTGCTGGAAAGATGGATTGAGGCTGTAAAAGTGCTTTGCAAAGAAGAAAACATTAGTATGAAGCTGTTAGTTGTTGTTATCTTGTTTTTGCTATCCTTTCCCCCAGGGAATTACATTTAAAGCTCTATCTAGGGAAACCGCATTTGTTGTGTTGTTCTAAATGGGTATCAAGTTCACAAAAACCAATTTAGGGAGACCAATTAAACTCAGAATAGCTCAAAAATCACATTTTCATCCAATCAGCTTCATCTCAACTTGTTCAAAGCCCCTTGGGTGAATCTCTTAGTAGAAGTTAAGATTAAGCTCTTCCCTGTAGATCTGGATACTTGTTTTTTTAAAGTAATGGTATTAGGGAAGTGAGGAATACAAATGAATGTGTTTAAAAGATTTCCTTTCTTTGGCACTTAGAGTGTGGAGAGAGAAATATTTATTATACTTGAAAATCAAGACTAAATCCTAATGATTGTTTGTTTTAAAATATATACCAAAGACCACTTCTTTTTTGAAATATGCAGTAGCATACTGATAATTACACTACTTAAATACAGAGAATCCCTTTTTGAAGATTGTTAGTGTATCTTTTAAATTTCTCTTAGTAGTGTCATTTTGGACTTTCAGAAGCCTTATAACTTACTAAGGCTGCCTCCAGAGTTGGACCCTGATGACACAATATTACCTAGTTTTTTTTAAAATAAAATACTAAAAGGGTTGAAAATTCTGGGCATAGTAATCTCAATTCTTCTTTTGTAACATATCAATCTTGCATTTGAAGCTGTGAACATACTTCTTCAAAAGGAGTGTTTTTGAAGTACAATGTGTTACAGGAGCTGGTACCTTTAAGTTGAATGTTAGTAACTCATTAAAGAGAGAACTCGAGGATTTCTTCCAACAAAAAGAAAATAAGAAATGAACGAACATGTAGCCTTTGTGTACTTCTGGTTTGTACCAGGAGGTTATTTATCAAGCGAAACAAGATGTAATGATGTTTCTCTGGAATCTTCCATTATAAACTACCTTAACTTAGTTTTGGAAGATACTTCCCCTAACTGGCACCCTCCCCCCAATTCTGGGGAATTTCCAGTGAAATTATTTAATAGAGCTAAAGTAAGGTCCCAACTTATTCCTAACTAAAAGCAGAGTACAGTTCCTGAGGAGTCCACATTATGCGAAGCATAACCACAACTTCTCAGCAGTAACCCAGCTCTGGAAATGTTTGTCCTTGGTGTTTATTTTGCGTTCTTTCTCCTAGCTGGGTGTACGACCAAGCCAGGGAGGAGAAGCACCACGAGAAGTGACTTCAGAGACAGGAAGCATCGTTGTGTCCGGCCTGACTCCAGGTGTGGAATACGTTTACACCATCTCTGTCCTCAGAGACGGGCAAGAGAGAGATGCGCCAATTGTGAAGAAAGTGGTGACACGTAAGAGTTCTTTGCCTCTTTTCATATTTTAAACTGTTGCACTTTTTAAAGGTAACTGATAGCGGTATTGCTTGTTACTTACTTAGTTACTTATGACACAAGGGGAAGATATCATTCCTACTTATATTATTAGCTCTTCTAAGTCTGGAGTAGCAAGTTCAACTGATATCATATAATTCATGGCATCAGAAGTGTTCTTTCCATGTCAAAAGTTATCTGTGAATTGATAACACAGAAAAAGATTTCAGCAGTGTTGCAAAATTTAAAATTGTAAAAAAAAAAAATGCTCTCAGAGAATTGCTACCCATCATGGTTTTACAGTACAACTTCTTTATTTTTACTGATAATTGAAGGAAGGGAGAGAGGGAGGGAGTGGGGAGGAAGGGAGAGAAACATTCTATAGCTCAAGCACTTTATGCTAGTTTTGTATGCATGCGTGCGTGCATGCTAAGTCACTTCAGTCATGTCCAACCTTTTGTGACCCCATGGACTGTAGCCTACCAGGCTCCTCTGTCCATGGGATTCTCCAGGCAAGAATACTGGAGTGGGTTTCCATGCCTTCCTCCAGGGGATCTTCCCGACCTAGGAGTTGAACCCACATCTCTTACAACAACTGCATTGGCAGGCAGGGTTTTTACTACTAGCACCACCTGGGAAGCCCCATGCGAGCTTTAACTTCTAATTAAATTTTTTTTCTGTGTAGCACTGTCTCCACCAACGAACTTGCACCTGGAGACAAACCCTGACACTGGAGTGCTTACCGTGTCCTGGGAGAGGAGTACCACTCCTGGTAAGCCCGCAATGTATCAGAGGACAGAATTCTAAGGGCAATGAAAGGGAGAAATGACCTCCCTTTTACAGAATGAAAAAACTTAGACTCAGAAAAAATTAACTTATATCCATTGTCACAAATGTTACAGAACTGGGATTGTAACTTAAGTGTTCAGACTCACTCTCACATTCAGCATCATGTATTTGATCTTAATTGTTAGTTTGACTTATACTCAATACTGAGAAATTTGGCCAAATGGCATTCCGTGATTGTTTTTTTAAAGCTTTACATAAAGCTTTTATCTAAACTCGTTCACACATGTTTATACCCATGGACTGTAGCCTGCCAAGTTCCTCTGTTCATGGAATTTTCCAGGCAAGAATAATGGAGGGGGTTGCCATTTCCTGCAGGAGATCTTCCCGACCCAGGGATTAAACCTGTGTCTCCTGCATTTAAGGCTGTTTCTTTACCTGCTGAGCCATCAGGGAAGTCCCATACGATCCTAATGTGTATAGAGATATCTATGACAATATTCAAGTATCATTATGGAATGGGGTGATGGCAAGAGAAATTTTAGATATTCCTGATTTTTGTCAAGTCTATGAGAAGTGTTAACTAAAATATTTATCATTGGTTATATTAGGGGACTTACTACTGAGATATCAGGATATTTGTTATTGGGAAAATTCTAAATTAGAAACAGAAATGCCAACTAATGTTTATGGCATCCATAATGACTATATGTACTTATTAGATGGCTTTATTTTCTTATTATTTCACTATTCTGATTTGTACCCTTATTTTTTAAAAATAGTTCTTACCTTTGCTGGGATACACAGTTGAGGCAATTATCTCTAAATTGGATCAATATGTGCTGTCACACACAATAAAGCTAGCTCAAAATATCTTTTTTAATTCCCTCTGAAGTAAAGTGATTTTTGGTGAAGTTTTCATTACCTGTAGAAGCATCATTTAAGCCCAAACTACACTATTTCCAGTTGAATCACTCTAAAGTTGAAACTTTTAGATTGGCAAGTTTCATGCTTGTCAGAAGCTAGATCATTCATATTTAGTCTTAATGGATGGTTTAGTCTGTCCATCTGAATGATCATTAGCACATGTAATGACCCAAACATTTATTTCCCATCCAGTTGGAATTCCTTGTACATACTACTTTAGTGGTCACCTTATTCCTGAGTATAAAATATACCATCATTTTCTCCCTTTTTAGTAAGTTTAACTTAAACATAACTTTCTCACTTTACTCTGTCCCTGTGACTCTCTGGTCATTGCTGTTTTAATTTGAATGTCTCTCTCCTCCCCTCAACCCTCTCACTGCCCTACTTCTATGATCTCTGAAGTCTTCAGCAGTTAATACACCATTTTTTAAAATTTGGCCATGCCATGCAGTATATGGGATCTTAATTCCCTGACTGGGTATCAAACCCAAGGCCCCTGCATTGAAAGCGCAGAGTCTTAACCACTGGACCACCAGGGAAATCCCAATAAAATTTTCCTAGAGTCACTTTTGTTTTTCACTTTTTCTCCTTTCCTTATTGTTGAATAATATTAGTCAGTCAGTCATGTCCGACTCTCTGCAACCTCATAAACTGTGGCCCGCCAGGCTCCTCTGTCCATGGAATTCTCCAGGCAAGAATCCTGGAGTGGGTAGCCATCCCCTTCTCCAGGGGATCTTCCCCACCTGTAAATCCCATAGGTTTCAGACCTTATTTTAATAAATGAGGAGAACCTATTTTGGGGAGTATGCCTAAGGGTGAGAGCCAGTTCCCTGCTAAGCAGGTATAACAGAATATCCTTCAGCTGTCCTGCAAATGATCCACTAAGGAAAATCAGGGTATGTGTGGTAGAAGGAACATGGAATTTAGGACAGAAGAGCCTTTGGTAATCATTTTCCCTTTCCAAGATTCTCTTTAAACTGAGGATATTAATACCTCCCTCAAAGGGCTGTTGTAAGCACTGAATGACAGGAGGTGGAGTCTTCAGCACGTAAGTGTTGAGTCCTTGCCCCATCCCCCTTCGAGGGTGCATCAGTCCAGTAATTGGCTCTGGGTGGCAAAGGTTCTGGGCAGTAACTTTCTCCTTTCTATTTTCTGCAGACATTACTGGCTACAGAATCACCACCACCCCCACAAACGGCCAGCAGGGATACTCTCTGGAGGAAGTGGTCCATGCTGATCAGAGTTCCTGCACCTTTGAAAACCTGAGTCCGGGCCTGGAGTACAATGTCAGTGTTTACACTGTCAAAGATGACAAGGAAAGTGTCCCTATCTCTGATACCATCATCCCAGGTAATGGAAAAATCAGCTGTTACCTTCCGAGTGGTAGTTCCAATAAGAGTGGGGATTAACCTCTTAATCCCCAGATGGTTGAGTGTGTCAAACTATATTTGGGATTTAATTCTGACCTCCCAACCACACTCTCTAGAACCATGACGTCAAAGCCACTATTTGGACAAATGCTTGCTGTTAACACTGCTTGACTGTCTGTGCTTCACTGGGATGCTCTTTGTCGCGATGGGTATGCAGTGGAGTGGAGCCATGGCATTAACTCTGTACTGTCCGCTCACGTGGAAATATTACTAAAACAATGTCATATGTCTGTACTCAGTACCAACAGGCGAAAAGTAATATGGTAAATGCATCCCATCCATACATTTTTGCCTGATCTTACAGTCTCCACATGTGAGCACTGAAATAGTTCTTGGTTGACACACACATTCAGTTCTTCATCTTGCTCTTTCAAATCCCTCTTTTTTTCAATTGAAAAAAAAAAAGAAAAAGAAAGGCCACACTTTCAGGGTGTACTTTCTTGTGGACTGAATGACAACATTAAAGAGATCTACCATGGGATAGGTCTGTTGTTTGTCCAAAATTGAATCATGACAGAATGAAAACGTTGGACAGATTGTGTTCTTTGCACGATTTGGTAGAATGCTTTTACTAATACTAATTAAATAACTTGGATTATGAAATGAACAAAATATTAACAGTAGCCTTGGACTCAGGCCTGTCTTTCACCTGAATGTACTTTTGAATGGCACATTTTATACCATACATTCATAATGTGTTAGCATTATGGTCCTGATGTTGTCATGAGTTTTTCTATGGGAAAAAAAGAAAAACTCATCAATCAATTTTTTTGACTTTTTTCATGCAAGCTTTATTCTCCTACTAAAAAGTTTTAGATTATTTTTTAACTTTGCTGTTACTTACTATAGATATTATATCTAGGTTCTAAGAATGGTTTTGATATCCCAAACAGGACTGTAATCTTTAGAACCTGAGAGGTTCAAACTTTACTGTTTTGGGGATTTTCAAAAAAGAAACAAACCAAAAATCCCTAAAGGAATATTGTAACCTGTTTTATTCTCCCAGGGAAGCAAACTATTCATGGTGCTTAAAAAGTCTTTTCAGATAATTTGGAACAGATTGCATATTACCATCATTGCTTTAACACTATCAATTTTACCACTAGTAACCTGATGTACACTGCTTTATTTTTTCCTCTTTTTTGCCTCTGTTTTCCTTTTGCCCTCCTTTGCTTTGTAACTCAATAGAGGTGCCCCAACTCACTGACCTAAGCTTTGTTGATATAACTGATTCAAGCATCGGCCTGAGGTGGACCCCGCTAAACTCTTCCACCATTATTGGGTACCGCATCACAGTAGTTGCGGCAGGAGAAGGTATCCCTATTTTTGAAGATTTTGTGGACTCCTCAGTAGGATACTACACAGTCACAGGGCTGGAGCCCGGCATTGACTATGACATCAGCGTTATCACTCTCATTAATGGCGGAGAGAGTGCCCCTACTACACTGACACAACAAACGGGTGAATTTTGAAAACTTCTGTGTTTAAGACATGGATGGTGTTGCATGCTGTCCCCAGTCACTCTGGTTAAATGTGGATGTTTCAAGGGAAAAACCAGCAATTTGCCAAAGATTAAGAGAGGGTAGATCGGGGGTAAGGAGTAGAAGGCATATGCTTCACTGATTGGATGAAGACATATACGGTAGTCTTAAGTACATTTTCATTGAAGCCATGAATATGAATTTGTGTAAAGCTAGAGAAATATAGACATCTGATCTATCAAGTAAAAAATGCCAAAAGTTCCTTCAATTTGCAGACCTGGAATTAAAAAAAAAAAAATCTAACATTTATACCAAATTGTATCAAGAACACCAGTTAATAAGAAGAAATGTACTTCCAAAATGTACCTTTAGACTCTTCCTTCTGCTCTTTAATAAACTCTACCATCTTGTTTGTGAGTGTCTAAAAACTGATTGAAATTTAGGGTAGAGTGGAAGGAGGGTTTCTTTGTGGTAGGAGAAAAAGAGACTTTGGTGCGCTCTAGGTTTTATTGCCATGATAAGCTAAAAAGAAGCTCCTCTTTAACCACAGACTGGGGACCAGCATGCAACATTATAAAGGTTCTCTGCCCTGCATGGTAAGAAACATGCTGAGAACCCATTTGCATGAACCCTTCTCACTTGTAAGTAGAATTCACTGATGGAATTGTAGCTGTGGCGTAGCTGTAGTCACTCCTGTCAGGGGGACATTTAGGACCTTCCTGTCTTTTTGTCTGTATGCATGTGTTTCTTTGGAAAGTATCGCTACATTTTTCTTTGCTGTGTGGCAACTTAAGCCTCTTCAGCCTGGGATCAAATAATCATCTGTGGTATTAATCATGTACCTTGATTTTATGTATTTGAAAGTGAATTAAAAATTTTTCTTTAAAATATACGGACGGCAGAAAGGTTAAAGGGGCCTAACAGTACTGGGTGTAGTGTTTTATTTTTAACAGTAGTTCACTATGATTTAGATTAGATGAGACTGTTTGCATGATGATGACTCGTTTCCTTTATGCATGAAGTACTGGTTTTACCTTTCCAGCTGTCCTTGTTCAGCTTTATTTTTTAAGTGACATTAACTGAGTCTTCCTTCTTGTTTGAAACCAGCTGTCCCTCCTCCCACTGACCTGCGATTTACCAATGTTGGTCCCGACACGATGCGTGTCACCTGGGCTCCTCCCTCATCCATTGAACTGACCAACTTCCTGGTGCGCTACTCGCCCGTGAAAAATGAGGAGGATGTTGCCGAGCTGTCGATTTCTCCTTCAGACAACGCGGTGGTCTTAACAAGTAAGCATTCAAGTGTATTTGTTCAGTAAATACTAGGCTAGCACATACGGAAAAGAATTTTGTGTTTTCAGGTAGGAGCAACAGAGATTAAGACAGATACAACAGAACTACAACCTAGATTCCAAATCTAATGCACAGCTCTGTAATTTTGAAAGATGTTTTATTTGTTGTTATTTTAACATATCTTTGATATCTACAACTTTTTAAAAATCAGAGTGGAAAAACACCAACTGTGAAGTTCAAAGACTTCAAACAAGTGCTGCTTCCAAATGAGCACATTAAAAACAAATATGTGCCAAGAGACGTTACATGACTAAATCTCAGTGTTTAGCGAGAGAAAAAAATGAGGATTGAAACTAGTGTCACGGCATCTGTCTTATCCTCATTTAAGTGTCAGCAGGTAATCTATTTGGTATTTGAAACTTAGAAACAGTGACTGGTCACTCAGGATAGATCAGGATTTTATTTTGAAGAAAGAGCCAGAAGTTTAATTTGTACTTCAAAAAGAATCTGTTAGCAGGATTTCTCTGAAGGAGGAGGACTTTTGAAAATAACTGACACTAAAATAAACAGCCACAGTTTATGGAAATTGTTTCTTTCTAGTTCCTACCCTTTTGAAATTGATAGTTTTTATTAAAGAAAATAAAAGGAGACTGCTACATGTTGCGTTTCACATAAATATTGCTTCTCATTATTTTTGCTGTAATAGTAAAATACACATATAAGAAAAGCAAATGTTTTTACATAAGGGAAAACTAGCTCACATTTAGGTACACTACCTAATGATGGTCTGAAGACATCCTCCATCTTTCAGAGAATCTTTTAGAGGATGAAATACGAAGAAAAGCAACTCAGCATGACCACTGTCCTGGTTTCTCATTTTGTGGCTGAGGGTGAGAAATCCTTATGTCTGCCTTTCAGTGGGGCTATGATTCTGTTCTGGAGCATTCTGGAATCAGTAGTTACAGCATTACCCACTACAAAAGGCTCTGCATCAGGACCACTGTCTGCCCCACATTAGCCACAGACCTGTCACATGTTCAAATGTTCTAAGGTCTTATTCTAGATCTAATTCTAGATCGCAAGGTAGCCATTTCCCCCCAGAGAAGTCATTAATTATCCTGATTATACAGTTGAAGCAACTGAGGTCTCCAGTGGCTAAGTCCATTGCCCCTGGCCAAGCAGGAAGGAGGAAACGGAAGTCCAAACATCCTGTTTCCTAGTCTTGTGATTTTTCAAAACTTTCAGGGGCCCCTGCAGAAGGGGAGATGGTGTAGTGTGAAAAGGGTCTTGTGAATAGGAATTCAAAGGTTAGAAACCTTACTCTGTATCTTTTTG